TAAAGAACTCATCAAGGCCTACTTTAATATCACATTACAAGTTAATTCCATGCTAATATATATCAACCACCATACCAAGGCCTAAATTTTTAGCATGCCACAATTTAATTCTAAGTTGCCTAGCATCATGAGAATTAAATCTTAAACAAAGAAAATAATTAAATTAAATTCTATAACTTGAACAAGGCATGCTCACAAGTTGTATATGCTCATATAACAATCAATACAACATTAATATAACCCTAAAACATCCCCTACCTCAATTTGAGATAAAAATCTCAAAAGCCCACCGAAAAAAAAAGTGCTCCGAATCCGACGATATCGAAGGGTTTTGTCGGGGACAACACGATCTACATGAACCCACAAGAAGCCCCATCAAAATCACAACTTGACTTCAAACCCGAACTCAAAATTTGGCCAAAAACGGGTTCTAATAAGGGGGAAAGATGCGCGTGGTCGAGACAAACACAAAATGCGAAGGCACTTCGACTTTTTAACAAAGGGAAGAAGGTTCAAATGAAAGAAGAAGGGTGGCAGCCCCCTTGGGCTGCCATAGCAGGTTCTGGTCGTGCATGGAGAGGGGAGAAGATGACTTTTTAATTTTAAGTCCCCCTATTTATAGAAAATCTCAAAAAGTGCCCCGAACTGGCCTTGCCGAGTCCGAAAAAGTGAAATTTGAGCAGACGCACTCAAATGGCAAAACTCCGTGAACAAAAAAGATTCAAAATGAGAAAATATGAACAATAGAAGAAACAGCGTTAAAATTCGAGTCCCGAGCAAAGAGTTATGCCCCGAACAAGTTCGGCGGTAACTGGGGCCAAAAACCCTGAATCTGGAGAAAAATGACCAGAAGGAAATTCTATGAGTACATGACTCAACGAAATGTGAAAATAAATTTCATATGAGGATCCAGGCTCCAGACGAGGTATTTTGCAATAACTTTCATTAATTGCACAATGGCCCCTCCAAAAAGTGAAAACTGCACAACTACCCCAGAATGAAAATATCTTCCGAAAGTATTTTCTTAAAAACCCCTAAAACAAAATATGTTCAAAAGAAATTTACGAAAAACACCCCAAGAAAAGAAAAAAATTCTGAAAAACTGTGCATCCATGCCTCTATGGACACCGAGAACAACCAAAGTACTTTCTTGCAAAAGTGAATATACGTATTTTGTGGAAACCACTTAAAATGAAGATACGTGAAGTCAAAAATCAACTCCAAACACAAGGAGTGAGGTTATGCCAACAAAGTGACAAACGGGAAAAGACAAAATAGGGAAAAGGACGAAAAGTGAATAGTGTCGAAAAACGAAAAATGTGGAAATGATTCGGTCCTCAAAGGAAGTTGTCAATCCAAAGGAAAGAGTCTCAGAAGCCATTTTTGAGCACTCGAGACGACACTAAGCGACGAGAAACTGAACTCAGAAAAGAAATTTCAACGAAAAAAATTCATCCATAAAATTATGAGGAAAAAGAAAAGGAAGGAAATGATTGGGTCATTACATTTACCCACTGTGCAGTACTTTTTCAAGAACTCTTGTTGCAATATGTCCCATGCAGATATAGAATTTGGTGGAAGGGTTTGCAACCAAGTTTTTGCTTTGTTCTTGTGAGAGAATTGGAAAAGTCACATCCTAAATGAATCATTGGTAATAATGGTCAACTTGGTAGTCAAACATAATTCTAAAAATACATCCAAGTGTGCATAAGGATCCTCTGTTGCAAACCCATGGAAGGTAGGAAGCATTTGGATCATAATAGGCTTAATCTCAAAATGGGTTACATCAACATCCGGAAATACAAAGCACGAATGGGAAGTATATGTAGTAGGAATAAAATGATCCCTCAATTGTGGTTGTGAAGGAACAGGTGGCACCCATTCTCCATTACCATAACCATTAGCTGGTCCATCATGATTATCAGCCATGTTATTAGAGGAATTTCATATTGTATTCAAATGTTTTTTAAGTTTTCTTAATTGACTAAGAGTTCTCTCTATTTCAGTATCATGCACTAAAGGTTTCGATTGAGTATGGCGAGTTAACATACACTAATTCCTCTAATCCTAATAGTGACAAAAATTAAATTTTCCAAGTAAAAGAAAGCAGCAAAAACTCACAGAAGGTTTAATAAACCGAAGCTTTTTATCCCTTAAGCATCTTTATTCTCACTGCTAATTTCCTGCACCTGAAAAGAAAAAGAATTAAGGTGAGATATCAGAAAGTTTGAAAACTGGTAAATCAAAAATAAAACTAATTAAAAACTAAACTAATAAACAAATCTCCTCGGTAACAACGCCAAAAATTGTTGTGTTGTGTCAATTATAAATAACCACTCGTAATAATACGAATCTTTGTAGGATAGCACTACAGAGAAGGTGTCGAACCCACAGGGAGACGAGTTATTATGTTCTGCTTTTAATTAATCTCTATTGGTTTATAGGTAACTGGTTGAATTGATTGATTGGTTGTCATGATTATAAACTAAAACTAACTAAAATTAAACTAGAGTAATCAGAGAGAGAAAGGTCTTAGGGCTTTGACTTCACCACAATCTTTATACTATGGTTAACTGTTTCAATTCTAGGGATTTAACAAATTATATTTCAAATGAATTGAACTCAATAACATTCGTTCAATTCGGGTTTTAAAGAAAGATGTTTTATAAAATGCAGTTAATTATAACCTATTTGCAATTAGCATAGACTATCCACCTACCTATTCCAACTATTTTAACTAATTTGTAAACAATCCATCTTTCCTAAGCATAGACTATAAAAACATTCTTTTATTAAAAAACATTGGAACACCATTACATGACCTCTATTCTTATGTCCGGCAGGGCTCCACCAAATACCATCCAATAAGAATAGGTTGAGAATAGAAAAAGAATAGTTATATTTAAGACAAGGTAATAACAATTTGAAAACTACTTAAAGCATTAAATCTAATTGAGTTGTCTCAATTACTCATAGTCATGTAATAAAAAACAAAATATATATTAAAAATATCCCAGAGTTAAAACAATCAAACCATAGTACTAGATTGGGTTACATCAGTGCCCTAAGAGAAGAATTAGCTACTCATGACAATACCGAATATCATCTTTGTTGTAGTCGTCTCCATCGTTACGGATGACACTTCTCTTCTCAGGATCTTCACCTTCTAAGGTTATGGAAACCCTAACAGCTACCACCATAGTATCAGCCTTTTGAATAATATGAGAAAAAGGAACTTCTTCTATCAAGACCTGTGCTTTATTTTATAAAAGAAAACGAAGGTCTGGTGGGCTTTTAGGTCTTTTGGCCCATCTGGAATGAGATTCAACTTTAAAAAGAATAATCTCATAATTTAAATCTGACTGTCATGGAAGGCTCAAGCTTTAGGAAGTAGAGCTCGAGCTTTAAGGTTCGGGCTTCTGCTTTGGGAACAAGGCTCGAGCTTCATTGAGTTATTGCTCGAACTTCAAGGAATGGTGCTCGATCTTTACTTTTACACTTAGCCAAATTTCTTCAACTATTTTCCAAAGCATCTTTTCCTTCAACACTTAAAATATTTTGGGATTCATCTTTTTTGACATTACTCGATCCAAGCTTCATGGGCTCGAGCTCTAGGTACCAAGCTCGAACTTTGGGTACACAAGGCCCGAGCTTTGGATGATGATGCTCGATCCTTGAGGTCTAGTACGAGGCCCTGGGAGATTGGTTCTTCCATTAAATTAACTCTTCAAATTCTGACATATTGTGCTCAAGCTTTAGGGCCAAGGCTTGAGCACCATGTGGTTAGGCTCAAGCACCCCTGAGTAAGGCTCGAGCTCTAAAGGTACAAGGCTCGAGCTTCAATGCCTAGTTGATTTTTCTTCTTTTTCTTACAGGGCTTGAGCCTCAGGACTTGGGCTCGAGCTTTGGTTCCTAAATTCTTCCAAATTTCACCATTTAAGCTCTCGTCTTGCTCTGAATGACCGGCAACGACTCTGTAAGTTTCGATATCAGTCTTTTCATCATAAAGTCCCGGTTTTAACCGTTGCTTTGAGAAAGTACCTATAAACACACATTAAACATAAATCAATCTAACAATGGATAGAAGTATTACTTTAGGCCTTAACATACGTATATTTAGGGGCTCTGACTTGTATACGCCAAAATAATATAGTGAATGTGCGGTTCAAGAAAAGCCTTTTAGGTCAAGTTTAAATTTATAAAAACCACTACCACCACTACTACTAACGTAGCAAGAGTGAGTAGGGATCGTCCCAAAAGATTATACGTGTTGGAATTTAACTTCGACTCTAATGTACCAAATGATTGCAAAGAGAGAGATTGGTTGATTAAACTAAAATGCAAAGAAATTAAAATGCAATTCAAATAAACTAAGTTAAGATAGGGATTTAAGAGATAAGAAGTGAGGTTTTGAGGTGCATTAGAATCGCTACCAAGCTCGTTCACCAAACCATATACTTTCAACTAATTTGGGGAAAACCTTCTTGTAAACAAAATGCGACTACCAATTGCAATATTAAGCATGGACCATCAAATTAAAGAATGAATTGTCTACCTAACCATAAACTAAGTGTAGCACAACCCATCAATTTTAAGCATGACCCATTAAATTATTAACAATTGTAGCACACATCAATCTAGAGAATTATGAAATTTGAAATTATAAGCTATGGAATATCAAATCAAGTATAGATTGTCTACCTACCTACAAACATGAATTAAATTGTAGAACAACCCATCAAGCATAAGAATAATCGGTCAAATTAATTGACAAACCCATCTAATAAAAACCATGTCTAACCATCACTAGATTCTCAATCAACCACACATAGACATGCAATTAATATAGAAAAACTAGTGTAGAGATCAATTCCCAAATAATCACACATAAGACAACATGTAATCACAAAGAAAATCAATAGGAAGAATTAAATCATATGAATCATGTGAGACATAATTCCCAATTTAATCACACATAGACATGTAAATAAACTAGAAAATTAATAGGAAAAATTAAACCATAGAAATCATAGAAATACACCAAGATTCATGAACACAAATCACAAGATATTATTCCCCAAAAAGTAAGAAAAAGATAGAGGTTTAGATTACAAACTTGGGGCTTATCCAAGTCCCAATGAGAAGTCTAGCCAATCATGGAGGAGGTGGGTGTGATCTTGGAACCCTTAAGGGCAAGCTCCAAACATGGCTCCATCTTCTTCTTTGAAGCTCTAGAGAGAGAGTGTGTGTGGATCTAGAGATGGGTTCTTGAGATGTGCCTCCACTTCCTTCTTTTCTTCTAACCCTAATCTCTAACTTTCTAAAGAGAGAAAGTAACGAAAATATAGAAATTACAATGAAATATATGAATTTCCCTACAAAAATGGTTCAATCTCTCATATATACAAGGCTTTGAGAGCCCAAAAATGTGAGAACTCGACCCTAGAATCTCCCCTTTCAAGCACAGCCCGAGTTGGGTCGAAATGAGCTTTTGATCTGCTTTTTAATTACTTCCGCGAACAGTTCAACCGATCTCACTTTTCTTCAATCGATCTGGATTCGATCGATCTCACTTTTCTTCGATCGATCTGGGTTTAATCGATCTCACTTTTCTATGATCGATCTCACTTTTCTGCGATAGATCTCACTTGGCAATTTTCAGCATCAGCCTCAATTTTGCCTCAGATTCTCACCAAGACTTAGTTTGACTCCAAAAAGGCCTTAAGAAGCCATTTTTAGCCCGTTTTAACTTTATTGACCTGAAATAAACAAAAACACAAATAAGTACTAAAACAGGAAAATAAGATAGAATAAGGTCCTGGAATACTCAAGCTTAAGGGGTTTAAATGCACACTTTTCAGCGCTCATCAGGCTCGAATATGCAATATTTAGCGCTCATCAATTGACAGACAGTAGCTATGGCAAGGATAGAGATGTTAATGTCGTGTCCATCTATAGTCGTATGCATCAACTAACGGTCATCCTCGTCCATCTAGTGGTGCTCGAAAAACAAAGCAACCAATCAGGGATAGATTACAGTGTCTGCCGGAGTCATAATAGCATCGATGCCCCTACGGGTGAGCTCATTATAAGACCACTGTGTTTACTCCAACCCGATAAATAAATCTCGGTCAAATTTGAATTCTGGCTCCAATTTCCTGCCGGAGAAAAAGAGAGAAGGTACTTCTTTGATAATGAGACCTTGTGCCTCCATGAAAGATGGCTCTAAAGATGTAGATGCAGTAGCCTTAGACAAAGATGATAACTCCTCCGCTAGAGATGAAGGAGGTTGTGTTGGCTCTGGCTAAGTGCTTTCGGGTCTTTTACTTATGCTGCATCTACAAAAGCAACAAGTATAAATTAGTGCACAGGTATAAAGTAGGTAAGCATCAGATAAGAAAACACAAAGCATGCCTAAATCAAGTAGAAGCTAAAAATAGACATATAGGATCATGCTTGTGCAAGAAGTGATCAAGAAAGCTTCAAGAATATTGTTCAACATGCTTCAACATGACATAATAAATCATGGAACAATAAGCAATCTTAGGTATGCAAAATAATGCAATGATAGCATAGAGGACAGAAAAGTCACTTTTGGAAACATTTGAGAAAAAATGGGATCAAAAGGATAAGTGTAGGATGTGATGTGCATAAAGGATGCAACGTGCATTCACAAACCTAAAACTTAAGAAGATTCTGTAATTTCATGGCAAGTAGACCCTAGGATGACATCGTATCAATTCTTAAGCAAGAATGTCTACAAATTCAACATTTAAGACCAATGGAGCAAGAAAGATAACATGGAGAATACAATTATAGTAACTGTCTACCTAGAACTCAAGAAGCATGTATATCATGAAATAAAGACTAAATGAATTGCACGGTTGCAAAACACTTCAATCCTAGGCATTTATTGGTAAACAAGTTCAAAAATGAATCCTGGACATGGTATGCAACTACATTGCATGTATCTGAATAATACACAAAGTCAAACTCTAGTCAAAGAAATATCCCGTACTCCATTTCAACAAAATCAACATCCTATGATCACTAATGGCTCATGAGCCCCTCTAAGCAATAAATAAGAAGAAAATTGATCGTTTATGTCTCGCAATGCCCTTGAAAGTTTAAATGAAGCAAAGAATGACCAAAGACTGAAAATAACAAGAAACTTACCATTTTTGAATCAAAATCATGACCGGCAAATAACCTCGATCTCAAGCTCTTACTAACTTTCAAGAGATGGATCACTAGTATATAATCAAGCAAATGGCATTTTATAACAACTTTACAATATAAGACAAGATATTCCCAAACTTACTTCAAATTGCATTTGAAAATTCAAGTTATGCTCTTAAATAGTTACTAAGGCCAAAGAACAGCAACGACCTCCCAAACTTGAATTTTGAACTCCAAACATTATATCCCTCCCCCAAACTTATTCAAAGATCAATGCCAAAAAGGTTTATTCAAAGGATGCACACAAACTTTCAAAACCATCAATGTGACAAAAATGTGTGCAAAATGTGTATAAACAAGCAACTAGTTGCAATTTATTTCAAAATACACACAATTATTCAAAGAAGATCACATTAACAAGTTTTAACCTTATCAAGCAACATTGGAACATTTGACTTCAACAAGTTGGGTTTGGAATGGCAATTCAACACATTTTCAAGAGAAGTTCAAAATCATAACAATTTGGGGTCAAAAAATATCAAACTTATGCCCTAGCATGGCAAGAATCAAGAATTGAGAACAAATAAGTTCAATAGCACTTAGCACATGCATTTGGATAGAAAGAAAACAAATGGAACAAGTTTCATCTCATTTAAGGGCATTTTGGTCAACTTTGGGAATTTTTAACACTCTTGGGGTAAAGTTGGAATTTTTGAAAACGTTGAGGTCCAAACATTCAAATGCATTATGGATAAGCATCGTAACAAGAATCATGCATTAAATAGTCAACAAAGGAAGGAATTACGCAACTCGACTTCTCATTTTCAAAATAAAGTTCAGAAATTCCTTTTTACATTTTGGAAACCAACAACTGTGATCACAAAGACATTTTAAGCAATCAAGAATCAATTTGCCAAACAATACATCTTAACATGAGCAAAAATCAATTTAAGATAAAAAAAGCTATCAAAAAGTTCCATTTGAAATCACATTTATGCAATTTAAACACGACTTTGCATTTTAATTTTCAAAAGCACAAGTTTCAAATCAAGACATGCATTTCATACTCAATACAAATGAAACAAGTTAGGAAGCATGCTCATAAGTATTCAAATTCATTATGCCATTGCAACTTTAAGATTTTCAAGGAATTTTCAAGTTCAAAAAGCTTTATTGGAATTCATTTCTTTCAAAATCATTTTTTGCATTCAAGCTTCCATTTCAATTTACAAAGCAACATTCTCATTTAGTACATTTAAATTCCAAATCCATTCAAGTTAGAATCACAACAACTTTCCAAATTTTATTTTTCTTTTTCAATCAATTCAATTCCAACATCTAACTTTAAAACTCTTTTTCAATTTCCTTTTCAATTCAAGTTCACACAAATACACCAAGTGCCATTTAGAGAATGTAAAATCAAAACACAAGTTTAATTTTTTCAAAAATCCGACATGGGTTCCCCTTAAAATGTGCATTCCATGAAAATTTTCAAGAAATGCACACATATAAGCAATCAATCGAACTTTCAAACATTCAGAAAGATCCAATTTAAGGTCTCAACTCCATTCAACACAAGAAAAAGGGACACCGCCCACAATCACAAATCCACATTAAATTTTTGCCCATTCTCCTTATATACTATAAGTTATTCCCATACTCCAGTAATCTACAAACTTTAATGTTGTCTCAATCCTGCATTCAACAAGGTACCCATCTTCAACATCATAGTGAATAATTCCAAAGCAAAAGTTCACAGTCCCATAGTGAAGTATTATAGTGTAAGAATCCCACAGTTCCATTCCAATCCAAATTTTTGTTTTTTTATTTTATTTTATTTTTGAATTTTTTTTTCTTTGATTTTCAATTTTTGATTTCCATGATTGAACATAAAAATATATACAAACATATATTCAGAAAGAAAATAAAACTAAAATGGAAATATGCAAAAATAAAATAAAAACTAAAATAAAAAATAAAATAAAAATGAAAATTAAATTAAAAGAAAATGAATTTCTACATGCCCGATTCGGAAATGAGAAGTGGAGATGGAAATGGAGAGATTTAGGATGAAATCAAGGATTTCGGCCTAACCATGGCCAGAAGTGATGACTGAAGTCTCGTTGGAGACTCGCCGAAAATTGCAAAGGGATGCCGGAGTCAAATCAAGTTCTCCTTGGCCTAAATCAGCTGGAGAAAAGAAGTATAGTATAATCCAAAGGAGATTAGAGCGAGGAAAGAGAAAACGAGTTTGGCCGAATGGCCAAAGCTTCTCGCAGGATAAAATAGAGGACGGCGGCTACCTTGGGATTTTGGGTCTCATTGGAAAAGAGGGACAAAGGGGGCTTGGTGCTCGCTGGAGTTGGGAGAGGGAGTTTGAGATTGAGGGAAAATGAGAGATTAAGAGATTGAGAGGTTGAGAGGGTTTGATACGAGGAGAGAGAAAAGAGGGGAGGCTGATGGTTTAGAGAGAGAAAAAGAAAAAGAAAAGAAAGAAAAAAAGAAAGGGAAAAAAAAGGGAAAAAAAAGGGAAAAGGAGGAGAGAGAAAAAAAAAATAGGGTTTGGGGAAGGCCAACGGCCAAAGTAGTTTTCTCAGAATTTGAAAAGACGTAATCTCGATTCATCGAAGGGGTCTTTGATCGATCGAACATTTACTTCAATCGATCCAAATGGACTTTGATCGATTGAATGGAAGATGAAAAGTTGGATTTTCAGAGCTTCGATCGATCCAAATAGACTTCGATCGATCGAAGTGGTAAGATCCTGAGAGCAATTTCTAAGGCAAAATAGGCCTCTGCAGAGTTCGATCGATTGAGAAGGGGTCTTCGATCGATTGAAAATGACACTGATAGTGCAGGAAATGTAATAAGCTGCCCAGAAACATGAATGATCAACTCAAAACATATCTAGATGACGCAGGAAAGAACAAAAAAAGAAATGAGGGAGGAATAGGGTTAAAAAACCTTATGAAGGACTAGTCTTTAACGTTTCTAGCAAGACGTTGGGCTCTTTTAGCCCGAGTCAAAGATCTTGTTAAGCATCCCCTTCTCAATGGGGTGAATTGGATTTTGAATCCCACCCAACAAATCATTCCCTAAAGAAATTATTGGATTTGATTCAAGTGCATTAGATGGCTTTTGATCAACGAAACTTTTGGGCTTCCATGCTCTTTCAACATTGCAATTTAAGACAATATCTTTTGAAAACTCTTTCAAAGGCAAACCATTTAATTTTTCAACACAAAGAGAGGACTCATTATTTTCAATTTCACTTTCAAAACATTTTTCCACAACACAAATGTCTTCATGTTTGTCCATAGCATTGGGGGTTGGATTAAAAATATTCAACTTCACCTTTATGTGGCCAAAAAAGATCTTCATTATCCCCGTCCTACAATTGATGTTGGCATTAGCGGTAGCCAAGAAAGGACGGCCAAGGATAACGGGTATTTGGCTCTTAGGATTGGGAACCAATTCCATGTTAATGACAACAAAATCAACAGGAAAGAAGAACTTGTCAACCTTAATCAAAACATCTTCAACAAAACCCCAGGCTTTTTAATGGATCAGTCGGCTAGTTACAAAACTACCGACATTGGTTTCAAGTTGCCTAAGCCTAATTGGACATATACCGAATAGGAAAGAAGATTTACGCTCGCTCCTAAATGCAAAAGAGCCCAATTGATAAGATGGTCACCTATAGTGCAAGAAGTGGTGGGTGAATCGGGGTCTTTGAATTTAGGAAGAGTGTTGTGTTGCAAAATAGAGCTCACTTGTTTGGTGAGGACAACCTTATTAGGTGCTTGTCTTTTGTTCCTTCTCTTTAGAGTGCATAGTGTTAACCTTAAAGATTTCATCCAATGACAATCTAGATGTTTTGATGACAACAAACCATTAATGGTGTTTAAGGACTAATGTTCACATTAAGTATTATAGATAATTTACATTCAAAAAAGAACCTCAATGAAGCTATAGAGATCATTCCAAGTATTCCATTATTCAAGATCACATCAAGAAAAATAATGGATACAAAGAAGACTTGAAGTTGCAAGAAGCCAAATGCAAAGTCCATCCAAAGATAGTTTGGACTACAACGAGGAAGAAAGCAACTCAAAGAAAGGATAAAAGCAAGGATACCTCAAAGCCTAAAGATCATGGACAAAGCTTCAAGAAAGGGGTAGATAGAATGGTGAGTGTTTAGGATTCAATGTCAAAGTATTTATGAATCCATTTGAAACTCATCTCTATAGGACCATGCATGTCATCATTCATAAGTTCCTATGACCATTAGCAATAGACTATGCACTTCATTCACATATATAATAGACATATGAAGTCATTGCTAAAGAATGAGTTAGTTCAAGCTTGCTTAAGCTTTGAAAGAACTCATTACTTGTGCTAGAAATGTAAGACCATGCACATCAATTACATGATTCACTTTGGTCTCTAGAAAGTAAATGCTAAGGCTTAGAACATATTTGCTCATCTATAAAGCCTTCATTACAATGACTTGGTAACGGACTTTAGGACCCAATATCCGCCTGATGAAAAACTGTCTCTTTGGCTAAGTGTGAAAAATGAATTTTTGAAATAATGATTATTTCAAAATAATTTTTCCTGGTAATAATTTTTTATACTTCAAATAGCCTAAACTGATTTTATGGGATTTTTTCATCCATTCTACAATGGTCTACATACGGATTCATTTTTACCAAAACTGTCAAAAATCCAAATTTGTACTAAAACTAAATTTCTACATTTTGATTTAGTTGGATTTCAATTTTCTAGTATTTTTTATTGAATCCAAATGGGGGCTACTTCCTTATTTACATTGTAAACTTAAAGTAAATGGACATATAAATACTGTAAAGACATTTACTTAGTTGAACTGTCTGACACACTATCCCTAAAATCTAATGACCATTTAACCGATTAGGAATTTTCATCTAACCGTTTAAATGAGCTAAACAGAAAGCAACATGGTCAAATCCACCTTATAACCGGTTAGGAAGTTTCATCTAACCGTTTAGATGAAACAAAACAGAAAACTTGATCTTTTTATCCGCACCTTGTAACCGGTTAGAAGAATTGTTCTAACCGTTTAGATCAACATAGAAAACATTGTATCTACCTTCTCGTAACCGGTTAGGAGAACTCAAGTAACCGTTTACATGTACTTAAACAGAATACGATTTTTTCTTAGCCAATGATGTAACCGGTTAAAAGAAGCTATATAACCGGTTAGATGTGCTTTAACAGAATGAAACTTTTCTTGGCCATTGATGTAACCGGTTAGGATGAAGCTTGTAACCGTTTAGTTGAACTAAGCCAGAATAATGTCTTCAATCATTTGCATTCAAGTAACCGGTTAGACAACAACTTGTAACTGGTTAGATGAGATCTAGATTTCATCTACTCGAGTAGTTTAAGCCTTGTAACCGGTTAAATGAATGGGCAGAAGCTTCCCAACGGCTATTTCAACCATCTGACTTCCTGGGAACTTGCCATAATGCCCCCAAACGGCTATATTCTTCCAAGGGCCTATAAATACACAATGTAAGGACATTGTGGACATGCAAGGGAGCCAACACTTGAGAGACCTCATTAAGCATCAAAGAGAGCTTTTGTTCTCATTTTTTTCTCTCCATCTCTCTCATTCATTCATATACTATACTTGAGAGATTCAACTAAGGATTCGAAGAGCTTTTGCTCTATCTATACTTGAAAGATCCTATTAAGTTTATAAGAGCTTTTATTCTTCACATATTTCATCTTCTCTCATTCATATCATTCATAGAGTTTGACCTTCATTAATATTCATATATACTCTAGTTGAGAGCTAAATTTGTATATCTATCTTGAGAGAGATTCAATCTTGTGTTTCAACTACAAACTTTTCTACAAACTTGTAAGGGTTGATGTGACCCAAAAGAAGCTTAGGAGAAGGGTGTTCTCCTAGCAAGAAAGAGAAGTAAGGAGTTGTTTCATGTAAAGGTTTGCTCTCCACCCATAAGGAGAAGCCATAATGGATTGGGAAGTCTCAAGAGGGGTCTTAAGCCGAGGAGTAGGAGTTTTCGAATCTCGCTAAAATCGCCGAGTCATTGTTTACAATTTTTCTTCCCTTATCTCTTTTACAATTGTGTTATTAATTGTTTCCTTTCATATCTTGAATATTGCATAATTACTTAAGTGGTTGATTAGAAATTGTAAATCTATAAATTGCGAAAATTGGCCATTGACTCTATTCACCCCCCTCTAGAGTCAATCATTGGGCAACACATAGATCTTTTAAAAACTTGGCATAAGCCGGAATTTATCGAATTACATCCAAGAGAGGAAGATTGATTTTAACTTGCCTAAACACATCAATGATTTCATTCATTTTATATTGTTGCTTTTTAAAAGATGTGGATGCTTGTAAAGCATCCGAGAATGGAGCCTTTGGCTCAAAAGATTTCTCAAAAAATTTTTGCGAAGAATTCTCAACAACGGGGTCCTTTGCACTAAATAAAGGAGGAATGGGATGTGAAACGGGACGAGTGCCAACACTAGGTTGCACCGGTTCACTTTCTACATTAGACTCACCAACTTGATTGTCAATCACCCTTCCACTTCTCAAAGTGATCACCGCATTTACATGTTCAAGTGTAGAACCTTTCGAAGGGGAAGTGGTCTATACAACAAATTGTTGCTTTGGTGGGGGGTTAAGAGGCATTTTTCCTTTCTCTCTTGCATTCAAAGTGCTAGCTATTTGCCCTTCTTGGGTTTCTAGCTTGGCAATTGATTGGGAGTGAGAATGAAGCAATTGAGTGTTCGCCTTCAAAGTACTTAAAATCAATAAAACTTTTTCCTCAAAAGCGGGACTTCTTGAATGACTTTGAAAATAAGATTGTTGATTGGGAAAATGAGAGTTTGAAAATTTATTTCTATTAGGAGCTTGGTAGGATGAACAATAGCCTTGAGAATTTTAGCCTTACATGGGGGGTGGAACATATTTCCTTTGAAAACCACCATGGGGGGGTTTGAACCTTCCCCTTGGCTTTTCCAAGAGAAATTGGAGTGGTTCCTCCACTTGGGATTGTAATGATTTCCATAGGGATTATTCCCTTGATTCACAAATACAGTATTGACTTGTTCATGATACTCATTATACACATGTCCATGGGGACAATTAGAAGTAGTATGCAACACACTTGAACATGTCATGCATGATTCATTAGAATGATGATGCTGATTAGGGGAGGAAGACACTTGACATGCCGAATTTTGATTAATTAAAAATTGATTAAACCTTTGAATTAAAAATTTCACCTCGGCAACTATGTCATTAGAATTGTCCACTTGATATAAGCTTGAATTCTTTCTTCGTCCATTCACATTTCTACCATTTTTAGAAGACAAAGATTGGTGCATTGAGTTTTCACTTTTGCTTTCATATAAACACCACACATCATCTTCATGTTTATCTAAATAGAAACCTCCTATTGAGGCATCAACCATGCCCTTAAGGGAATTGGACAAACTTTAATAAAAGTGTTGAACTATTTGCCACTTAGGAATATCGTGATGAGGATATTTCCTAAACAAATCATTCAACCATTCCCATGCCTTATGTAACATCTCCCCATCCCCTTGTGAAAACTCACGAATTGAAGTTCGCATTGCATTGGTTTTAGACATGAGGTAATATTCCTCAAGAACTCCCGTTGCATTTCCGCCCAAGAAGTTATGAAAAGAGGTCTCAAATTGTTAAACCAATATTTTGTCTTGTCTTTTAGGGTGAATGGGAAAAGTTTTAACCTTAAAACTTCTTCCGGCATGTCCATGTATTTTACGGTGGAAACTTCAATAAATTCATTCAAATGCTTATATGGTTCCTCATTAGGTAGCCCAAAATAATTAGGAAGTATTTGAATAGTTTGTAGCTTAATTTCATAATGATGTGCCCTAAATTGAGAAAGTTGAATGCATGTAGGTGCATTATACTCATTAGGCACATAGTGATCTTTCAAAGCATGGGGAGGATTTGCAATTAGTGGCTCTACATGAGCTCCATTGTTAGCTTGCACATTTGGTGGTAAAGGTGGCACAAAGAATGGCCTTGGCATTCTAATTGAAACTTGGCCTTGTGGTTGTAGAGCAAAAGGTCTAGGCATACCTATTGTACTTGCATTTATCATATTGTTGTACATTAGGGTGAAGAATGCCTTGTTGGTCTATATGACCAAGGTCTTCAATATGGTCATCCATTGATTCAATGAATTCACTTGAATTGCCTCTACCCCTTATATTACGCACAATCGATTCAAGATTAAGATTCAATGGAACAAGAGGATGATTTAAAGACCTACAACCATGCATGCACAATGCAAATCAACACAATTAGCAACACAACAAATAGCAAATACTTCTACAACACAAATCAATCAACAACAAGCCTCCACATACAATGATCCCACACTACCATGCTTTTTAACAATACAAGAAGAAAATGCCTCCACATGGGCCGATGATTTACACTAATGAAATAAAATGCCTCCACACGGGTCGATGATTTAATTAAGCAAGAGGAGTTTAGAATAACTTACAAAGGGTCCTTAAGCAACTTCAAGAAATTTTTAAGCTTTTTGTTTTGCTTTGCTTTTGCAATTTTTATTTTTATTTTTATTTTTTATTTTATTTTGCTTTGTTTGCTTGCTTTCTTTGAGGTTCCTTTGCTTTGCTCCTCCTTGCTCCAAGTACCTAGCCAAAGAGTGATAATATGAGAAATAAAATAAAAATAAAGTAAAACAAGGATCAAAGGAGTACTAATTCCTAATCAATTCCGAATACGGCGTTGCTAATCCCCGACAATGGCACCAAAACTTGGTGCGAGGTCGCTTGTATAAACCCAAATTGCATAGTGCGAGTGCGGTTCAAGAAAGCCTTTTGGTCAAGTTTAAATTTATAAAAGCCACTACCACTACTACTACTAACGTAGCAAGAGTAAGTAAGGATCGTCCCAAGGGATTTGAAAGGTACTACGGAATTAATATTGGATTAGTAGGTCGAATGATCAAAGAGGGGTTTTGGTTGGTTGAATTAAACTAATGATTCAATTAAAAACATGCAAATTAAGATCAATCTAAAGATTAAGGTAAAGAGAATGAGAAAAAAGTCTTGGGGCATAGAGTTCACCATTAAGCTTCAGTTCACTAAACATTGGCATTTGTTAATTTAGGGGGATTCCATGTTGTAAAGCAAGTGTGTGCCATTAATTGAAATACTAAGTATGGATGGTAAATTAAGCATAAATTGTCTAATCAATCTAGTGAGTAGCACAACCTATCAAGCTAAGCCATTAACCATTTAATAAACCCATAATTAATGCACACACAAAAATCTAGAGAAATATACTACTTGCACTCATAAGCATGGATCATCAAATAACAAGAATGGATTGTTTACCTATCTAGAAATTTAAAGCAACTACACTACAACTATGCTAATGACATGGAAATTAAACTAATTAAGCTAAGGAGGTAGAACAATCCATCAAGAAATAAACATGATCCATCAAACAAACCACAAGAGTAATTAATTATGCACCATGCCTTGACCATCACTAGATTTATAATTTCAACACACATAGACATGCATCAAACTCATAAAACCTAGTGTAAGCACATACCCGTTCATTCTAGCATACATAGACATATGGATAGAAATAAAAGATCAATTGGAAAAATTAATCCATACAAATCATGTAAAAACTCAAGATCTATATATAATCATGGTCAAAACATTATTTACAACATAAATTCCCAAAAACTACAAAATATTAAGTTTAAGAAGCAAGCGTAGGGGCTATCTTTAGCCCCAAGAGAGGCATTTAGCCTCTTATCTTAGGAGTCATCCAACCCTCAAGGGCTATCTTCAATGTAGGCACCATCTTCTTTCTCTTTGCTTTGCTCCAAAAACCCTAGTTCTAGAGAGAGAGAATATCTAATAGCTATGTCTAATATTGTAACACTAGAGAAAACAATTCTTGGAACCCTATACAAATTGGTTCATTTAATTTAAATACATGCCTCTTTGAGTAGGCACAAGTCAGAAAATAGGCCTTTGATTAGTGCAAATTCGCAGCTACAAAAGTTGGTAGAGTTTAGGCGCGTTCGGCAATTAGACAACTCACTGCAAGCAGGGGCTTCGATCGATCGAAGCTATTTTTGATCGATTAGAACTTACTTTGATCAATCAATCAAAGATGACGTGGTAAAGATAATTTGGACAACTGGCAACCTTATCCACTGAGCTGGAACCGCCTTAATTTCGATCGATTGTAAATATTTTTGATTGATCCTAACTTCCTTTGATCGATTGAACCTTGAATAGTGCAGTTTTTCTGACTTTTTCTGAATTTTCTTCTTAACTCCAAAAAGGAGTTAAAAGGCTCTTTTTAGCCTGTTTGAACCTGTGTAATGACCCGGGTTTTTGTTCAACCCGGTAGGTCAGTGATGAACCGAAAATTGACCCGTTAACGGATCCAAGATGCGAAGCAAAAAATAAGACAATGGTCTCTAGAGATATAACACGTCTCTAAGACACCAATGTGACCCTCAATGAGGTCATGGAACCTAAAGAAACAAGTGTGAAGGCAAAGATCAGAAAAATAACAATTAAGCCCCTAGGGGCAAAGTAGTCATTTTAGAAAGTATAGATTCAGGTGCCACCGAGCACACCACTAGAAAGAAAACAAAAAACTAACCAAGATGGACTCAATAAACTCTTAATTCGGAGTCCGGACAAAGAAGAAATGACAAGATGAAGAAAGACGAGCAAAATCTGTTAATCAAGGGCAAAATGGTTAATTTACAAATGAGATGGGAGATTTGACCCTAAGCAAGTCAAATAAGGTCCATACAACCTAAACTAATCGTTTCACAACATTCCAAGAGGCTCCAAGAACATTGAACAAGAATCACACAAGAAGCCCTTTCCTGGTTCAAACCAAATCCCGACACTACTTCACTAAAAAATGAATAACTCCCACTGTGATTTGAATATGAGAATAACATAATAACCATTGGAAAACTGACTCAAAATCCTTGAGTTTAGGCTCAAGAATCACCCCATTTGGGTTAGAAATGAAGGAGATATGACCGTTTGAAGTCGGAACAACAGTGTTGAAACAAAACTGAAGAGTGCTGTGTATGGAAGAGTGCTGTGTATGGAAACTATTTAGGTCGACCAAAATGGCTATTTCGGTCGACCGAAATGACCAAAAAAGTTCCAAAACTCTTGAAATTGAAAAGAAATCACTTAGTTCGACCGAAATGATGAATCGGTCGACCAAAATGGACCTGAACAAGGTAAAGGCTACTGGAAAATGACTTTTTACTGTGCAAATGAAGTCCAAAAGGTTTCGGTCGACCAAAGTGACATTTCGATTAGCCGAAATGGCTTGAGAAAGTGCAAAAACCACTTGTTATGCACCCAAGGCTGAAAGTCTATTTGGAATCCCCCATGGCTTGATAAATTTACATCATATGCTATTGTATGATGTTGTGAACATGCACGCAAGTGTAATATGACATTTTAAACATATTACAATGACCTACGGCCTCATTACACTCCATTTACAAAATTTGACATGCCAAAGTTGGAAAGGTTACATTTCAATGGTAAAACTTGAAGTTTAAATACAAACTCTTGAACTTAAAGGTTTGTGGCCCTTGGCCTCATGTCATACATATCAAATAAAACCCAAATAGTGTATCCAAACACACTTTACATGTTATAAGGCAAAAATGACATATTGAACCTAGCTATGTATTACATCCTTATAAGCAAAAATTAAACATGCTAACACTTGCATGCGAACAAGAAAACTTTAAAAGGAACTTCAAATCTCCAAGTCACCCAAAGTGCAAATCTTTGAATCTTGAATCCTGTACCTGAACAAATCCCCTAGTAACTTCGGGGCGAGTAAATAAGTTTACTCGTAGAGAATGAGCATGCATCGACTCGATTTCTTTCAAATTTTTAGAACAACATGAAACAGTTCAAAAAGGTCATGCCACCTAACGTCTATGTCAAAGGTGAGACTCATGGAGCATCCTAAGCTACTTTAGAATATAAACAACAAGAATCATGATATTTAAACATATATGAGACGAATCAAGATTGGGATAACCCAAAGATCACGATAAGAAGGATACTTCAATATTGATTAACATGAATTGCATTTTTAATACAATTAAGCAAGGTTTGGAATAATCCAAGAAACATGACAAAATGATACTAGAATACAAAGATCACATTATCAATGCAATTTACATGATTGGGACATACCGATTAACACGACAAGAATTTTACATGGAATCAAGAATAAGGCATAATATCTATGCAATTAATCAAAGATGGAATCTTCTATACAACATGAAAAAGAATCTTAAATCTTCAAGGAATACAACTCTTGAAATATAAGGAATAAAATCACGAATGAATCATAAAATCTATGCAATGAAACAGGATTGGAGCATTTCACATACACGACAAGGTTTAAATCTTTAAAGAATAGCAACTTAAAATTTAAAGAGTGAAATCAACTAATGTGGAAACTCGGATATCGCCTGGATTAAAACCGTACTCTTGAGATCACTTTAGGGCTACTATCCCATGGGTACCTTTCCCCAAGTTCGCACTATAGTGTAAGAGGACATTCTCCCGTACTAGAACCAAGTCCTAGCCATGTCAATTCTTGATTGATATCCCAAGTCCTAAAATCAACAAGTTGTGCAAACCAAGATAATATTAAAATACAAGAAATGCATTAACCACGTTTCATGCACAACCAAGATTTTGGAACATATAAGTCATGCCCTAGATTCATCAACTAAGATGGCATGTGAAATGTCAAGAAATCACAGTGTGCATCTATAGAGACTAGAACCAAGATATATAGCACAAGAAATCCATTGAAATAAATATACCACAAGTATAAGATACATGATTCAATTACCTACTAATTAACACGTGTAATTAAACCATTCCAAGACAATTGTACAAGTCTATGAAGTACATTAATGAAACCAACATATAAGGGGTCATGATTAAATCGATGGAAGCATAAAAGGGAGATTTAATCTACTTAAAGGATTAAATTATCAAAATTACAAGGCAAGTCATAATGTTCTACGAATAAGGCATGTCAAGGATCATGTCAAGGGCAAGTTCAAAATCAAGTTACAAGTTCATTTCATACAAGACACAACTGTGTGAATTAAATTCCATACAAAGGAAATAAATAAATGTAAGCCTCAAAACTTATCCGATTATTCCCAAATTGATACACGTAAAGGAACTTGTCAAGGAAATCATGACTACCTAGTTAGAAACTTAATCAAGCTCATAGAACCATTGAATGGATTTAATTAATTCTTTTAATTAAAATCTCTAAATTTTGAAACTCATCTAAATGATCTCAAATTAATATATGTCATATAACATGCCAAGACTTGATTTAAGAACATGATACAAGTAGATTTCATGCAAGGTACGGCCATGAGTATTAAATCTTAATACTTGAAAAATAATAATTGAAAGGTTTCAAAACCTAATCAAATATTTTAGATTTAATATATGTGAAAGCACATGACATGCATATCAATAAAATCAAGTCAGAATTTCGATAGAGTGAATAGTACACCCAGAATAAATTAATCAATCAAATTAATTAAATATTACTAGATTTCAAAACATCTCCAATTACTCTCAAATTTACCTATGTTGAAAAGCTTACTATGGCCTAGTATAATATGCTAACACATATTGATTTCGACCTAGTTAAGGTCATATGAATTAAATATTTACTCAAGATAAATGTTAAATAAAATCTTCGTTACTTGTCCAAATACTCTAAATTTAATATATGTCAATCAACATATCATAGTGTAATATAATGTCATGCCACAAATATAAAACATGATATAATCCACCGGGAAAATCAAATCTCATATTAGAAAATAAATAATTAAAAATTCTAGATTTGATATCCAAGCATGTAAATGAGTTGTATATGCATCACAAGCATGCAATATAATATGAAAATAAATTATAACACCCCCTACCTCAATTTGAGATGAAAATTTCAAAAGCCCACCAAAAGAAAAGTGCTCTGAATCCAATAATACCGAAGGGTTTTGTCGGGGACAACACGGTGAACAAGAATCCCAAGGAAGCCCCATGAAAATCACAACTTGACTTCAAACCCAAACTCAAAAAATGGTCAGGAATGGGTTCTAATAAGGGCAAAAGATGCGCGTTGTCAAGACAAGCATTAAACACGAAGGCACTATGATGTTTCACTCGAGAGAAGTGGCCGGAAAAAGAAGAAGAAACATGGCAATCCCTTGGCTGCCATGGCTACCGGCCAAGAGAGAGGAGGGAGAGAGAAAAATCTGATATTTTTTCTTTAAGTCCGATATTTATAAAAAATCTCAAAAAGTGCCCCGAAAGGGCCCCGCCGGGTTCGGAAAAGTGAAATTTGAGCAAACGCACTTAAACTGCAAAACCCCATGAATGAAAAAGATTTAAAATGAGAAAATATGAATAACAGAAGAAACGGCGTCGAAAACTGAGTCCCGAACAGAGAGATATACCTCGAACAAGTTCGGCGATAATTGGGTCTAAAAACCCTGAAACTGGAGAAAAACGACCAGAAGGAATTTCTAAGAGTTCACGACTCGACAAAAAGTGAAAATGAATCTCGTACAAGGATCTAGGCTCCAGTCAAGGTATTTTTGCAATAACTTTCATTAATTGCACAATGACCCTACAAAAAGGGTTAACTGCAAAACTGCCCTAGAATGAAAATATCTTCCAAAAGATATTTTCTTAGATACCCCGAAAATAAAATATCTTCAAAAGATATTTATGAAAAATACCCCAATAAAAGAAAAAGATTCTAAAGAATTGTGCATCCATGCCCCTATGGATACCGGGAGTAATTATAGTACTTTTTTACAAAAATAAAGATACGTATTTCGTGGAAACCACTTAGACTAAAGACACGTGAAGTCAAAAACTAACTCCGAGCATGAAAAGTGAGGCTATGCCAAAAAGTGACAAACGGGGAAAAGACAGAATAGGGAAAAGGACGAAAAGTGAATAGTATCCGAAAAGTAAAAATGTGAAAATAACTTGATCCTCAAAAGAAGTTGTCAATTCACACGAAAGAGTCTCGAAAACCAATTCCAAGCACTCGAGATGACACTATGTGATAAGAAACTGAACTCAGAAAAGAAAATTAAACGGAAAAAATTTATCTGTAAAATTTCAGGAAAATAGGAAAGAAAGAAAAATGACCGAGTCATTACAACCTTATTGACCTAAAATAGACAAAAACACAAATTAGAACTAAAACGGGAAAGTAAGATAAATGAATAGACTAAAATACCCTATTTTATGTGCTAAAATGCATCGCATTTGATCACTTATCACTAAACCACATTCAGATATGATCAAAACTTGAGCCAATGTCAACCTGACCTTCAGCTCCTGAAAAGCAAAATCACAAACCTCATTCCATATGAACTTGACTCCCTTGCGAGTAAGTCTAGTCATAGGTGCCGCTAAACGAGAGAAATCCCTAAAAAATGTCTGATAATAGCCGGCTAGGCCAAGAAAACTCTAGATCTTGAACACACTCTTCGGATGTCCCCAATCCATCACAGACTCAATCTTAGATAAATCAACTGAAACTCCGCCCCCTGATACAATATGACCAAGGAACTTCACTTTAGGTAGCCAAAACTTGCACTTCTCATATTTCGCATACAACCAATTATCCCGTAGGATCTGCAAAAACTGTTCGCAAGTGATACTCATGCTCTTCTCTCGAAGATGAGTACAAGATCGTTAACAAGCATCATGACAAATCGGTCAAGATAGTCATTAAATACACGGTTCATCAAGTCCATAAAATCTGTTGGAGCATTGGTCAAACTAAATGGCATCACCAGAAACTCGTAATGGTCATACCGTGTACGAAAAGCGGTCTTAGAAATGTCCTCATCCTTAACCCTTAATTGGTAGTACCCTGACCTCAAGTCAATCTTCGAAAAACATGTCACTCATTTCAACTAATCAAATAAGTCATCAATCATAGGCAAAGGATACCTGTTCTGGATCATAGCGTGATTTAATTTGTGATAATCGATGCAAAGTCTCAAGGACCCATCCTTCTTCTTCGCAAAAAAAACTGGTGCTTCCTATGGTGAAGCACTAGGACGAATAAAGCCTTTAGCTTTCAAATCATCCAACTGTCCCTTCAACTCATCCAACTCTACCAGTGCCATGAGGCACGGTGCCATAGAGATGGGCATTGTACCGGGAATGACATCAATGGCAAATACAACTTCCTGTATAGGAGGTAACTCTGTTGCTGCGGGCGCCCACCAGTTGCCATCACTAGCACCAAGTGCCCCTTTGCCAGTGCGTGGAAGCCAGCTTTGACACCCCACGGGTGCCTGCCCTGTGCTGCGAGCGCCCGCTAAGCTGTAAACATAGGTCGCCAACACTGTTGTTTTGCTCAATGTTGTCCCCTTGACTAAATGAATGGCTCTGCATTCTTCTACGGATTTCTAGCCACGAGATTAATTGATTTTGGTAGGATTTGTGGCTTATAAAAAGGGTTTGAAGGGTTGTAAAAAGATATCCAACATTGTAAGGTTTTGTAATGAGAGAAATATTGTGTTCTTGAGAGCTTGGGTTAGAACTTGTTTCTAGGTGCAGAAATGGAGGGGCTGATCCTCTCAACCTCCTCCTCCCTTGCTTCTATGGGTAACTAACTCCATTTCTAGGGAGGTGATGAAGCCCTTCTTTGTAAGCATGCTTTAGTTTTGTTTAATTTGGGGAATGAAGTACGTATGTGGTAGTTTCATAATCTAGAGCACTACACTTGATGTAATGGATCTTAATCTCTATAAATGATTATGTTGAATCTATTATCTTGTCTTAGATTATATTTTCTCATGATTGAATGGCTTGCATTTTCATAGTGAGAATGGAAATGAAATTGTGAAATGGTTTGTATTGGCATGTCGTATGAGAAACTTGTTAGTCCATAGCTTAAGGTCTTCCTTTGATGGATTATTCTTGATTCTTGACTCCATGTGCTATTACCATAGTTATTGAGGGGTTTGATAGTCCGTAACTTAGTGAGCATGTCATAGCTACACTCTAATTTAGGTAGTTCAAGCATGTGAAACTTTGAGGGATTATACTTAATTCTTGATTCTATGAACTTCTTGAAGATAATGTAGTAATCTTGTATTGCCACATATCATTGCCATATATCTAAGTTGTTTCCCAAGTTAATCACAAGCTAGCATGTTTATAGGGTTGGTAGTTGATTCACTTACCTAGTCATCTCTACACAATTTCCTCTCCTCTTAAATTCCTTCCATTTATTATTTTATGCAACTTCCATTTCCTAGTTCTAAGTGACAAACAAACCAAACCTTTTACACCTCTATCATTAACAAAGTAATTTTAAAGACCTTGGTTGCCATAAACTTGCAGTCTTTGTGATTCAACTTGCCCCTATGATAGCCCTATTTTACAATGATTTGTGCTATCGCAAAGGTTGATTACAATTAATAATGAGTAGCCGTGTCTGAGCCGTGTCCGAGCCGTGTCCGAGCTGTCTGAGCCGTGTCCGAGCCGTGTCTGAGCTGTCTGAGCCGTGTCCGTGACGTGTCCGAGCCGTGTCCCAGCC